AGGAAGAGTCACACATGTCTATTCCTCTCTAGTGTTCTATTGGTGAGAAAGAATCTTGTCTTCAAGTTGGTGGAAGGAGGTTTGAGAGAATCAGCTTCTTTCAATTGTTTCTAATTTATCTCGTCTCCATATTTTCCTTGACAGTGCATGTAGGAATTTCAGCTCCAAATTACATAACTACGACCACTTATTTATTTTCTATTGAAAGTGATTTGAATCAATCTTTTATCAATATGTTCTTACAATATTGAGTGTTTGACTTGTAAAAACAAAAATCAATTTAAGGAATATGGAAGGCATCAATCTAGCTACAATTGTGATATTAGGTATATTTGTAAGTGTGATTTCTTCTTCTGCACATCTATGAATATAAAGTTACCATCCAAGGTCTATTTTTTAGATTTCTTGGATCTCTTAAACTCTAATTTATTTTAGAGTTTTACTTTTTATCACAACATTTGGAATCAAAACCAAGTTTATATTCCTTATTAAAGTTATTTTTTTGAAGATGTTAATGACAAAATTTGAGAGTATAAGATTTGATAGGAAAAATGATTTCAATCTATGGCAAAAGAGAGTGAAGGCATCCTTCTATAATAAGGATTGCACAAGGCTCTTTATGACAAAGAAAAATCTGAAAAATTAAGTAAAGAAGAATGGTTTGAATTAGAATTTAAAGTATTTAGTACTATCTGATTATGTCTTGTTGATGACGTTATATGACACATATCTAATGTTGAAACTGCTATTGCTATTGATATGTGAAAGAATCTAGAAATGTTGTACATATCTAAGAATTTTACTAACAAGAGTTTTTTTTGAAGAAATCACTTTATAAATTGCATATAAATGAAGAGAAAAATTGGTTAGAATATATAAATATTTTAAATAAGTTGATCTTCTAATTTCACATTGTGGAAGTTAAAATTGAAGAAGAAGATCAAGCCATGCTTCTTCTTACATCCTTACCACCATCCTTTAATCATTTAGTGACTACCATTTTATATGGTAAAGACATCTTAAAAATGAAAGAGGACAAATCAGCATTACTATCTAAACCTCCCACTATTAATAAAAGTTTGGTTACTAAAGGTGATGGTCATGATTCAGGACATTAAAAGTTTCAAGATGACATGAAAAATTATTTTTCGACTAAAGTCAAAAAGAAATAATTCTTACCATTATTATAAAAAAGAAGGTTATTAGAAATCAGATTGCCCCAAGCTCAAAGAAAAACAAAAAGATATAGAACTAGTTTTGGAGACTAGTGTTGCATCTGATTTAGAAGCTCAATGAAATGTTCTTTCAATCTCCTCAAGTTCAGATAATTTTGAAACTTAGATTTTTGATACAAGTTGTTCCTATCACATCTGTCCATTTCAGGATTGGTTTGACATATACAAACCTCATGATAGAGGTAATATTCTGATGAGAAATAATTTGGAATGCAAAATTTTTAGCATAGGAATAATAAAAAATCAAGATATTTGATGGAGTGACTAGAACCTTGTCTAATGTAAGACATGTACCTGATTTAAGGAAGTTTATTTGCCTTAGGTACCCTAGATGTGAGTGGTTGTAATGATACTACTGGTGATAGCATTATGAAAATCAAAAAGGATGCTTTAGTTGTTATAAAATGAGAAAAAATCAAGACTCTATATAGGTTGTTTACGACAATCATTTCTAACCATGCAGCCTTCTTTTGAAATCTTTAAAAACTATTTTCTCATTTTTTTAGAAACTCTTAGAACTAGAGAAAGAGAAGCCATTATATCTCATTTTGAAAATGAAGATGCTACTATGATGTGGCATGTTAGGCTTGGTCATATGAGTGAGATAGAAATGTTAGAGCTACAGAATCAAAAACTACTTAAGGGAGTCACATCTTACAAACTTGATTTATGTAAATCATGTATTCTTGACAAATAGTGTAAAACAAGATTTTTTTACTTCTTCTAAAATAAATAAAAATATTAATCAATATGTGTATTCAGATATTTGGGGTCCATCTTCAATCACATCATTGAGAGGAGCTTTTTATTTATTTATTTATTCATGTTTTTTAAATAAATATTTAGATTTATTTTTTCAAATAGCAATATGAGATGTTTGACACTTCCAAAATTTTGGAAGGACAGTTTAAAAATAGACCAGTCAAAAAATTAAAGTCTTATACACTAATAATGGTGGTGAGTACACCTGAAACGAATTTAAAAAGTTTTGGTCTAAAGTATCCTTAACTTGGTTGAATGAATAAATAGAATATTATTTGAGAGAGCTGGTTGTATGAAATTATCGTAAGACAGTTTGAATTCTTCAAGGTTGAAAACACTTGAATCATTTTGATCTAGAAGACTTGTAGATTATTCTAATCTACATATATTTTGTACCATTTATGTACTATTGTAAGACAATGAACTGACCAAGTTGGATCCTAAATCAAAACATTGTATTTTTTTAGGATATAAGGAAGGTGTAAAAGGATTTAAGTTATGAAATCCCATAATTTAGAAAACATTACTTAGTAGAAATGTCCTATTTGATGAAGTATTATTATTAAAAAATATTCAGACCACTATTTCTTGTGAGAATGACATCAATACTTCAATTAAGGTGGAGTAATAAAAAGGGTTGATAGAAATTCAAAAAAAAATCCACCCCTTGATGAGTCTTCAATACACCCAACTCACAATAATATGTATTCTATTGCTACATGTCGTGCAAGAAGGGAAGTGAAAAGGTCAACAAAGTTTTCTTATTCAATTGCATATGCATTTTCTGTTGTTTCCTCTGATCCTATAATATTTTAGGAAGTAATTCAGAGTAAGGACATCAATGAGTGGAGAACTGCTCTAGAGCAAGAGATGACTTATCTTCATAGAAATGACACTTCCCAAGGGTAAGAAATTAGTTGATTGAAAGTAGGTGTATAGAAAGAAACATGCTCTATTAATAACAAAATCATTCAAATATAAGGCTCAATTGGTAGCCAAGGGATTTCACTAGAGAAAAGATATAGATTTTAATGAAATTTTCCCATTAGTGATAAAAAAATATTCTATTGATGTTATGTTTGTCATGGTTGCTATGTTTGAATTGGAATTGATGCAACTTGACGTGAAAATAAATTTTTTACATGAAAATTTAGATGAAGAGATTTATATGTTACATCTTGAAGGTTTTGTTCAGTAGGATAAAGAAAAACTGATTTGTAAGTTAAAAAAATCTCTTTATGACTTGAAATAAACTCATCATCTATGCTATATGAAATTTGATCATTTCATCTTGTCAAATAGTTATACCAGAAGTAAGTATGAGAATTGCATCTATTTCACTTCTTAAATGATGGTTTTATAATTCTTCTTATGTTACATATTGACGACAAGTTAGTTGCATCCAAATCCACAGATAAAAATATTAAATTGAGAAATCAGCTTAGTCTTGAATTTGGAATGAAAGTCATATTTGGGACATATGCACCAAAAAATTATGGTTTATATACAATCAGAAAGATTTAGCTAAATTCAACATTTCAAATGTTAAACCAATGAGTACCCACTTAGTTCAGTACTTTAAACTATCTTTACAACAATGTCCCAAATATGACAAAGAACATAACAAAATGATGAAGATAATGCATGTAAATGTAGTTGAATGTCTAATGTATGCAATAGTTTGCACTATACTTGATTTATCACATGTTATTAGTGTCATTAGTAGATATATGAAAAATCCAATAAAGGAGCATTGGAATGTTGTAAAATGAGTTTTGTGTTATCTTAAAGAGACATCATATTTTGGTTTGTTATTTCAGGAGAAAAAATCAATGTTCTTAATGGATCTGTTGACTTAGACTATGCAAGTGATCTAGATAAGAGGAGATCTACTAAATATATTTTCCCTCTAGGTGGAGGTGCCATCAGTTGAAAAGCAATGCTTTGAGAAATTGTTGCATTCTCAACTGAAGCTGAGTATATTGCTGCAGTTAAGGTAGAAAATGAAGTATTTTGGATGAAGGTTTTAGTAAAGGAACTTGGTATCAATCAATCTATCATACCTCTGCATTATGACAGTCAAAGTATCATGTCTTATGAAATATCCAGTTTATCATTTCAAGACTAAACACACTGGCATTAGATTTTATAAATTACGTGAATTTGTTACATAAGGAGGTATTAAGCTTGTGAAGGTATCTTCACAAGATAATGCTGTTGATATGATGACTAAGCCCTTATTTGCAGCCAAATTACATCACTATATGAAATTGGCTAACATCTGCCCAAGTTCAATAGTGAGACATGTATGAATATATTTTTCTTAAACATTTTTTTTTTGTGTGACTGCAGCTAAATTTTTAGGCGGAGTCAAAGTCGGAGAATGTTATTTTTTGACTGCCCAAAATTACTCACAAAAAGGCACATCTAGTTGAAAAAGGTAATTTACCTTCTCCCACCTCATTTTTAAGGGCAACAATAGTTGCAGGAAAGAGTGTGAGGCATTTTCAAAAATGAGTGGAACTTGAGGGAGTTCTATGGAGAAGGAAGACGACGACTTTAGGTGGAACTTGAGGACTTGAAGAAAGGTGGAAGATTCACACGTGTCTACTCTTTTATGGTGTTCTATTGGTGAGAAGTAATCTTGTCTTCAAGCTGGTGGAAGAAGTAGGTTTGGGAGAAAACTTCTTTCAATTGTTTCTGATTTATCTTGTGTCTCCATATTTTGTTTGATAGTAGATGTAGGAGTTTCATTTCCGGACCACATAAGTATTACCACCTATTTTTTTTCTATTAAAGTTGATTTGGATCAATCTTTCATCAGCTTATTCTTGTAATATTGAGCTTTGACTTATCAATTTAAAGAATATCGAATTCATCAATATGCTGATATTATGATATTAAGTATATTTGTAAGTGTGATTTGTTCTTCTACACATTTGCAAGTATACAGTTGGCATCCGAGGTCTTTTTTCAGATTTCTTGGATCTCTTAAACTTTGATTTACTTCAGAGTATTACTTATCACAACAAGCACGGTCTTGTACTCCACCGCCCTCTTCTCGTCGGCCAACTTGACCGCGAAGAACCGGAGGACCACCGGGAAGATCGTCATCTGCCTGTAAGCTAACTCCTTTCCTAATCACAGACGCGGCCCGGCCTGTGTCCCAATCAGAAAGCGAGCCCCAGAGTCAGTACAAGCTGTAGGACAGGTATCCCGTCTTCTCTCACCTGGAAAGCGGTGAACTTGTAGGGGCTCTCATGGCGGAACACCCCGTCTTCGTCCAGCCATCTCTCCGGACGGAAGTCCTCTGCATCCTCACCCTAGATGTACTCCATTCTCCCCATGGCATTGGGTTGGAAAAAGATCACCTCACCTCCCCTCACGTCGAACCATTGGGGAGCCTGTCTACTGCGAAGCACATCTTGCTATCCTTCAAACCGATAAAAAATCCAAAGATCATTAGCATAATCGAACCAGGAACCTCGAAGAAAGATTAGTAATGTTCACTGATTCTTCCACTGATCAGGGGTCTGGCCGGGTAGAGCCGCAGCGTCTCAGACAGAGCGGCCCGGAGGTAGTTCATCTTCTCCGTGATGCGGCCAGCGAAGCCTCCGAAGGACAACTCGGCCTCAGCCTCAGCCTCAGCCTCTCCGACTACGGTCTCCACTTCTCGATACATCTTTTCCAGCACAGACGGGTGCATGCAGAGCATGTAGAAGAACCAAGAGAGAGTTCCCACTGTGGTGTCCTTGCCAGCGATGACGAAGCTGAGAATTATATCCCTCAAGTACTTGAGACTCATCTTCGTAGGGTCCTCCGCTCTGTCCTGCAGAAACCTCGACAAGATGTCCGCCTCCTACTTCACTTGTAAGGGCTATCATGCACGTCCGTGAATGCTCGAACAGAGCGAGAGAGTGGAAGAATGGGAGATGGAGGTGATGAATGCAAGCAGCGGGTCAAGAACCTGCTCTTGTCCCTTAGAGATCTTGGCGTGGATCATCTTGTAGACGTACTCGTCCACTCAATTGATGTTCTTCCATAACAACGCTTCTGCCCCCACGATGAGAAACCTCTCCAGCCTCCATAGGGGATTGACTATGCGCCACACGATCAGTGCACTTGATTCGTCGAATGCCCACGTAAACTCGGCCCCTTCCTTATCAGATCCCTGCACATAGCTCAGCTGGACGTTGAACCGCAACTTCGAATATCTGCGTCTATGGTTGATTTTGTTAGAGTAACACGTCCTATATGGACTTCAGTAGAAAACTCCATTAGATGCGAAAAGTAATACAAGAGAAACACTCCTCAATAACCCAAAGAATAGATTCCTAATCTTAGCCTTCTAATGCACTCATCAACCTAAGAGATCTTCTTTAAAAGCTCTCTCTCAAACACTCTCTCTCTATGGTGAAACAAGGGTAGAATGGGGTTGCTTGTGCTGCTCCAAATGAGGGGAGGTGACCCCTCTATTTATATGCACCTTGTAGCCACCTCGGTAACCATGCTAGTAAAGACATCGGGAAGCGTGCCAAATGATTTCATTTTCTTACACCTGGACCGTTCTAGTTAATGACGTGTTCAGTCCATAATAAAAGGAGGCAATTCACATTACCGTTTCTCCCGTTCAATCCATAAGTTAATCAAGTTTAGACAATGTCTAAATTTATTTGAGTAAAGTGTCTTCGTAAATATATTCGTAGGATTCTCTGTTGTATGAACCTTCTTCAGGTCAACCTTTCCTTGCATTATAACATCACAAATAAAGTGATACTTGACATCAATATGTTTGGTACTCTCATGGAACATCTGATTCTTAGTCGAATGTATGATGCTCTGATTGTCACAATATATTAGAGTCGTCTCCTATATAAGATCAAAATCGTCAACTAAGTCTTGAAGTCATAAAGCTTTTTTCACTCTTTTTATCATTGTTATATATTCAACTTCTGTTGTCGATTTCAAAGCCATTGTAGACTGTAGGATAACCTTTCAACTAATGGCATAACCTAAAAGAGTAAACACATATCTTGTCAAGGATATCTTCTTATCCAGACCACCAGCATAATATGAATCCACATAGTCAGTCAATTGGCTATCGTTATTACTTCCCTTCTAAAATATCAAGCTTACATCTGAAGCACCTCTAAGATAATGAAGAATCTACTTTACAACTTCTAAATGAATCTTCCTTAGATTTTCTATGTATCTACTGATCACACTAACAATATGAGAAATATCTGGATGAGTGCATACCATAGCATACATAATGCTTCCCACTATATTCGCATATGGAACCCTATTCATTAGTTCCATTTTCTTCTCTGTCTTCAATGAATCTTCAATAGACAACTTGAAATGAGTTGTCAATAGAGTACTTACAGTTTTGCATTCTATCATGCTAAATTGTTCCAACACCCTCTTTATGTATTATTTTTGAGACAAGTACAAGCTTCTAGTGCTATGGTCTTTGTACATTTTCATATCCAATATCTTCTTCGTTGTACTGAGATACTTCATCTTGAATTCACCATTCAACTGAGACTTTAAGTGGTTAATATCTAGCATGTTCTTGACAGCAATCAACATATCATCAACATATAGCAATAAATATATATATGAATCATTTGAAAGTTTTCTATGATATACACAACTATCATAATTACTTCACAAGTAATTATGACTCGACATAAATGTATCAAACCTCTTGTACCACTATCTCGAAGACTATTTCAAATCATATAATGATTTCTTCAATAGTTACACATAGTCTTCTTTGTTAGGAATCTCGAAACTTTCTAGCTAATACATATAGATTTCTTCCTCTAGCTCACCATGTAAGAATGTTGTCTTCACATTCATCTACTCCAACTCTAAATCGAGTGAAGTAACAATAGCTAGTGAAACACGAATTAATGTATGTCTTATCACAAAAGAGAAAATCTCATTGAAATCAATACCTTCTCATTGTGTGAAGCCCTTCACCACCAAACGTGTTTTGAATCTAACACCTTCTCCAACCACGAATTCTTCTTTCTTCTTAAAGACCCACTTGCACCCTACAATCTTTTGACCATGTGGTATCTTCACAAACTTCCATGTCTTGTTCTTCTCTAGAGACTTTGTCTCCTCTTGCATGGCCAACTACCACTTTGAAGAGTCGTCGATAGTCATAGTCTCTTTGTAAGAACATGGTTTTGTCCCTCCAACTTCATCTACAATAGATAAAGTAAAAGCTATCATATTATAGTACATGTTAGGTGGCTTGATCATTCTTCGTTACCTATCTCTTGCAATACTAGGTTACCATTGAGAGACTTCCTCTATTGCTATATTCTATGGCTTTTCTTGAACTTTAGCTGTCTTCTTTTGCACTATATTATCTGAGAGCTTCACCTTTAACTTTTTTTATTTGCTACTAACTTGATCTCCTTCATCTATTTTTGATTTCTCTCTATTTTGAAGCATCGTAAATTCATAAAAGGTTACATCTCTCTTGATCATAAACTTTGGTAATAGAAGATTAGTGCACTACAACTAATACCACTTTACACGTTGTGTCGCCCTTAGCTCCAACTTGTCACCAGTGACATGAATATAAACGGGGCAACTAAAAATTCTGAGGTGAGAATAATCAGTAAGAGAACTAGACCATACTTCTTTAGAAGTTTTTAACTCAATGGCTGTACATGGAGATCTGTTAACCATGTAGCAAGTTGTGTTAACAACTTCTGCCCAAAAGTCCTTTGATATACCTGCTTGAGATAACATACTTCTAGCACGCTCCAAGAGTGTTTTGTTCATTCATTCTGCAACTCTATTTTGTTGTGGTGTTCGCGCTATAGTGCGATGCCGAACGATACCTTCATTCTTGTAGAATTCATATAAAACATTCGAGCAAAATTCCATATCATTGTTAGTACATAGGTGCTTGATCTGTTTTCTAGTATACTGTTCAATCAACTCCTTTCATTACTTGAATGTGATGAACACCTCATGCTTCTTTTTGAGAAAGTAAACCCATACTTTCTTGGAAAAGTCATCAATAAAGCTCAACAAATAATTTGCACCGCCCTTCGAGATAATTAGAGTAGGACCCCAAAGATCAAAGTGGATGTAATCTACTGTACCCTTGGTCCGATGGACTGCAATACTAAACCTCACTCTACATTGTTTGTCAAACACATAGTGCTCATAGAAGTCTAGTTTACCAGTCTTTTGACATGCAAGTAAACCACGCTTGCTTAGCTCCATCACATCGTTCACTCATATGGCCCAACCTCATGTGTCATAACTTAATAAAAATATCTAAATCTTCAGCCACATTCACATTATTTGTAATAGTGTGTCCAAATAGATGATAAAGAGTTTCGATCATCTTCACCTTCATCAGAACTAGAACACCTCTAGAAATTCGTAGAATACTATTCTCAGAAAAATATTTGTATTTTTACTTATCCAAAGTACCTAAAGAGATAAAATTCTTCTTCAACTTTAGAATATGTCTCATTTCTAAAGTCATGATGTCATTGCCATGCATCTTAATCCGTATTGTACCTATTCTTACAACATTAATAGTGTTGTGATCACCCAATGTCACTATATCATTATTTACTAATATGTAAATAGAAAACTAATCCTAGTAGAGACACATATGATAGGTATATTATGTATCAAGAATTCAGTCATCATTAGAAGATCTAGTAGAAATTGACAAAACAGTTTCACCAAGGTCAGTCTCGTCTCCTCTTGAACGATGTTTACTTTATCAAAAGACTCATTTCCTTTTTCCTTCAACTGCGAATAATTCTTCTTAATGTGTCTTTTCTTATTACACTCATAATAACGAAACTTCTTTGTTGATTTAGATTTCAATCTTGATTTGCTCTTTTGACCATACTCTTTTTTCATTCTTTCTCAAACTATCAAGCCGTTTGCTTGATCATCTTCTTCAATATCTTGCATTCTTTTCTTTTACTTCCTTGAGTTAATTGACGCCTTGACATCTTCTACTTAATGTCATATTTGCCAAATAGAAAAAAAATCACAAAATTCTCATACGAAATAAGTAAAGAACACAAGATTAATATGGCTTCATCTTCATCTTCTATTTTAACATCAATGTTTGTCAAATCTATAACAGCCTTTGTGAACTTATTCAGATAATCAGTAACCTTGCGACCAATAACCTCGGGAAGCGTGACGAACGGTTTCACTTTCTTCCGCGTGCACTGTTGGTTCGTGACGTGGTCAGCCCATAAATAAGCCGTTGAGTGTATGATAATCAAGTCTTCCGACTGACCGTTTCTCCCTCGTATTCCACCTCTCCGCATTAAATGCATGCATTTACTGTGGCAGCCTCGAAAGAAGGGAAGCCATAAACGGCAGATTTCACGAACAGCTCGTAGGAAAATGGAAAAAGAAAAAACGATGGAGACTGAAGCGGAACCGGAGTGTGTGTTTCAGAGAATCCAAATCACCGGGTGAGGAGAGAGACATGACTGAACGTCTACCGGCTCACCCGAGGCGGCGGCGTCGGAGATGACCTCGGCGAGCTTCGTAGCATTGGTCTTGAAAATGGAGCCGCTGTAGTCCCTCAGGAATCTCGTGGAGAAATGGCGGCTCGAGAGCTTCCTCTGGTGGAGCCATTTGCTCCCGTTCACCAAGAAGATCCCGTCCACCAGGAGAGCCTCCATCGTCTCGTAGTCATACCAACTCTAATCCGCCCCCATCGTCAGCAGCAAGACGACGGCAACAACGAGAAATTGATGGAGGAATTCGCCACCACCACTCGCCTTGTCGTACCCGTGGAAGTTGGAGGAGGGAATGTGCTCGACGACCTCGGGGTCGCAGGTGTAGATCTCGTAGCGGAACCCCATGAGCACCCGAAAGGTCTTGTGGCGGCGGCCGAGCCCCGTCAGGTAGTCGTAAATCTTGTCGAAATGGAGGACCTGATCCAAGATGGTGCCGGCGACCGGATGGTACCTGCGCCGCCGGCCGTCTCCCCCCCGCCACAGCAACCGGCGGCCACCACCACCGCCGGTAGCATCCCCAGGACGAGGGATTCCACATTAGCGCTTCAGGATGCACAGAACAGTGGCGGCTTCGAGAAATTCCCCGAGAAGGCGAGGTCTGTAGCTTAAGAAACGGCCCGGGTTTGTAAACCATCAAGTTTTGAGTATTCGTCAATATTCTCTGTACTGTCGGTTTCTCAAGTGTGGAGAGGAGCGCGAGGTCCGTAGAAAAGTCAACTCCCCGTCGGCGCTCGAGCTTACCCACCCTGCTACCGGACGGGCTTTTGCCGAGAGATCACGACGGATGCGCTCACCTTTCAGATCGACCATCCTCAGAATGGACCGACACCTAATATATGAAGAGACATTAACAATATTCATAGAGGAATCTAGAGAGAGAGAGGGCGGGAGAGAGAGTAGAGAGAGCAGGGAGGAGGGAGAAAGCCCAGCAAAAGCAGATATTAGGCCGAGTTGTTGTGCTGGCACAATTCATCTCCGTTTCTGATGGGAAACTTGTTGAACTGAGAAGACAAATAGGATATAGAGAGAGAAATCGTTGACATGGTCCCTGACCTGCCAGACTGGCCTTCTATAATTCCTTAGCAGAATAGAACCGTGATCCCAAATCCATAGTCATTACGGCTGAACCCATCACAGGGAGAGAATACCCCATTAGGGGAAGCTCTCAAGCCCGCGGCCAGCAATGGCGTCCTGATATATGGCCAGAGCTTCGCCCATGACTTGGGCCTGAGAGAGAAAATCAGCTCTCTTCCTGCTGGATGGGTGAGTGGAGAGGTAGTCCCTCAGCAAGGAATCCCGGTGATCTTCCCCAGCTTCTCATACACCATTGGTGCCACCCGAGGATCATATCCAGCGGCGGAGAGCAGGAGCAGGAGCAGGAGCAGCCCAATGTAGTCTGCTTCCATGTCCATTCTGTTTACGGAAACAAGGAACGGCGTGAAGAACAACACTGAAATTTGAAAAGGAAAAGAAAAACTCAATTCATGGAGGAAGCATCAATAAGATAGAAACGCAGGGTATAAATCACTCAAGCTCCAACTTGAGAACTTTTATTAGAGCAAGAGCTTAATGTGAACTTGCAGAACACTGCTCACCCGATCCGTAAGACGTGAAGTAGTAAATAAGAAATACATCAACTCACAACAAAAGCTTATAACAAGAGAACAAATCCCTGATCTTAGTCCTCCAATCACTCACCAAGAATCTAACAAGAGATCTCACCTTGGGGGGGGGGGGGGTTGACCTTGGGAAGCATGCCCCCATGAAACGGATCTGATGTTCATCTGGGCGAAAGACTTCAATGCTCTCTTGAAATGCGGGCATTTAAAGTGGTGCATGAATAGGCGTCCTGCATTAAATAACCTTGTGATTGAAAAAGCTGACCAACGCATCTTAATCACGCCATCTCACAAAAACAAGAACTGAGCTGCCAAGTAATCAGATTCGTAAGGAAATCAAATTCTTCATAATTTAGTCGACAAGACCAATGCAGCAGGAAGAGCAATAAGTGAAGATTAATCTTAAAAAAATTCTGCCAGATGTGCTGCTACTTCGTGACTTGCACTGTAAAGGATTTTCATTCAGCCTATAGCAAGAAAATCGGGGCACTGGTCTCCACCCGGCTGAAGATTCCCCATCGTTGCCGCACCAACTCGTCTTCTCCCTCCTCTGCTTCTTCTTCCACCACAAAAGGCATCCATCATCAACGAGGACGCGGGGGGGGAGGCCCGACGGAGTTTTCCAGCCGATGGGAGCAAAGCAGAGGGGTATGGGGAAGCGCCGCCACTGCCCAGCGCCGCCGCCCGTTCTCCATTCCCACGGGTTTCGCTACTTCCTCTTCGTCATCTCCGCCATGTCCCTGGTCGGCCTGTTCTATCTGGCGTCCAAGCCCTGCAGGCTGGGGGGCTTCTTCCTCGGTTCGAGGCAGCTCGACGACCCCTCCCTCTGGTCCGGCCGCCTCGACGAGCTCCCCTTCGCCTGGAACCACCTCCGCTTCTCCGCCAGCCCTCCCCCGAGGAGGCTCAGGATCGCCCTCTTCGTCAAGCGCTGGCCCAAGGGCGACCGCGCCGGCGGCATGGAGCGGCACGCGCTCACCCTCCACGGCGCGCTCGCCCTCCGCGGCCACGCCACGCACGTCTTCACCTCCGACCCCGGCGGTCCCCCGGATCGCTCCTCCCCCAACATGCTCTTCCACCTCTCGCCGCCCCTCCGCGGCGGCGGGTTCGACGCCGCCGCCGCCTGGGACCAGTTCGCGCGGGCCAACGCCGCGCTGCCGTTCGACGTGGTGCACAGCGAGAGCGTGGGGCTCCCGCACCTCTTCGCCGGGAACCTCTCTAACGTCGCCGTCTCCTGGCACGGCATCGCCTACGAGGCCGTCCACTCCGAGATCGCGCAGGACCTGGCGCGCCTCCCCGGCGAGCAGCGGTCCTCGGACCAGGTCAAGCGTATGCAGGAGCGGCTCTTCCGGGTGGTCGACGAGGTGAAGTTCTTCGACAGCTACGCCCACCACGTCGCCACCAGCGACCACGTCGGAGACATCCTCCGGCGGGTCTACATGATCCCCGATGAGAGAGTCCACGTGATTCTGAACGGCGTCGACGAGCAGATCTTCCGGCGGGACGCCGAGAAGGGGACGGCCTTCCGGCGGAGGCACCGCGTGCCGGAGAAGGCAAAGCTGGTGGTGGGCATGTCGGGGCGGCTCGTGAAGGACAAGGGCCACCCGATCATGGTGGAGGCGCTGCGGCAGCTTCTGGAGGAGGAGCCGGATTCCATGGAGTGGGTCTTCTTCCTGGTCGCCGGCGACGGGCCCTGGGGGGACAGGTACAGGGAGCTGGGGCCGAACTTCCTGGTCCTGGGGCCTCTGGATCGCCCGAGTCTCTCCGAGTTCTACAACGCGATCGACGTCTTCGCCCATCCGACGCTGCGGGCGCAGGGGCTGGACCAGACCGTGCTCGAGGCGATGAACTCCGGGAAACCCGTCATGGTGACGCGGTTCGCCGGCATCACGGAGTCGGCGATCGTCAGCTCTGAGATGGGGTACGTGTTCGCGCCCTCGGTTCAGCGGATCAAGGAGACGCTGTCCAGGGTCATCAGGGACGGCAGGGGGGTGTTGGAGAAGAAGGGGGAGGTCGCCAGGAGGAGGGCGCTGAAGCTTTTCACCGCCACGAAGATGGCGGCCGCCTTCGAGAGGCTCTTCCTCTGCATCGCGTCCAAGAACGCTGGTGATGGCTCAGATTTTTGCAGATACCCACTCTCGACGGACTGATTCGGCGGCGACTCGGGAACCCGTCACAGGAGCTCGACGGGGAGAAACGGCGTTGGGGAGAGGGCCCCATCGATGCAGGCGCGTCCCAACTCGGTTCGCACCCGGCGAGTCTTTTGCAGATCTGCTATTCTCGGAATTACACTGAGTTCCTATTTGCATTCTTCTTTTAATGTCACCACCTTCCTAATTAAGTTTAGATCTTTCATCTCAAATTAGTTATTCAGTAAATATTTTTGTTTCAAAATCGGAATAATATTTGGAGTGGTTATTAAGATATCATTCGCGTAGAATATTAAATAATTCTGAGATCTATATCCAAAGAGTAGTATAAACATAATGAAAAATATGTAATGATTCATTCAGCCAGCCAACAATTTATTTTGATCCTAATTCATTGAATCATATAAATAATTCCTTCCAAATCATTATGAAGAAATAAAATTGTCACATCAAGATACTCTAATTTCATATTCATATTTGTCACCTATAATTAATACATTCTTATAAATATTTGGTTCATAACTAGAGAAAATACTTCATCATTGTCAAACCCTTCCACATGTGAATATCCTTCCCCTGCTAATAGCATTGAACTTTTTCCCTTCATCTTCTGACATAAGCTTCTCATTTTTGAAGATCCATAGCCACCCAATAGCCTTCTTTCCTTTAGGATGTCCACATATATTTCATATCCTGGTGTCAATGGAGAGATTATTTTTCTTCCATCATTGACTTCATCTATTCATCATTTTTTTGGCAATTAATTAACTATTGCAAAAATGTAGGTTCACTTTTGCTAACAGTCAAAGAAAAAATATACAGTTTTTAAAATCTTAACTCACAAATGATCTAAGAGTGTGTCTAGCTCTTATGATACCAATTCTATTGCCATCTTCCTCAACTTAATTTGTGAATTTTTGTTCTCATCAATCTCCACTTGACTGAACAATACACATTTTTCATCAAAAACTTAATTAAATATTGCTATTTAATTTCTTTTTTCCTAGTCATAGCTTATAGTTTGTATCATTTCATTTCATCTTCATTGGCTAAGGAGGTACACTTCTTAAATTTTGAATCAATCTTTGACCTTTCATCACTTGGGAGATCCAAGTATCCTCAACTTTGAGTAGTCCACTTATTTCTCTATGCACACCTTTGATTTTCAACTGGGACATCCTTTGCAAAGATTTCATTGAGAACTTATACTGTCTCTCTCTCTCTGCCGTCAGAACAATGGCGTTGGATTGTGAATGAGCTACGCAGAAGAAGAATGACGTAGGATTGTGCGTTCGACGAAAACTCCTTCCAGGCTTTCGTAGACGATCATTTAAGAAAAATGACAAAAAAACAGCGATAAAAATCGGCTGGCTGTGGTGATGAAGAGCGGCAAGTATACAAGACCTCCTCATTTCAAGGCCTGATGCTGGCGATCGATGTTTGCCTGCGGATTCCTGATGCCGGCGCTGTTGAACGTCGTCCAGATCAAGCTCGGGAAGCTCGACTGCGCCGCGGCCAGCGCGGGGGCCATCGTGCCACTGGTGATCCTCGTCCTCACCGTCATGCTCATCTACGTCTCCGTCGTCTTCTACGCCTTCACCCGCTGACGGCCCCCACTTACCCCCTTCATTCTATTAGATTTTCAGTTTTTTCCTCCTCTTACTCGGGACGATATATGTGAGGAAGTGTTTGCAGGAGTAAAGGTACGGGGAACAGACTGGAATCCCCGTCCTTCGTTCCCCTATCCGAGCTCACCTGCCGGCCTAACACTGGCCGTGACCCTTCTTCTTCCTTCTCGTAGCGGCGATCTCTCTTCGGGCGGGACGGTCTTCCCTGACATCAGCCCTCCTCACTAAAGAGCTCCAAGACCTCGTCCCCGTCTAACCAGGCAGTCATAGTCTGCGTGCGATTCCTCTCGCTCACTCGTCCATGGCGATCCAGAGAACTTACTGCGCAAACCGCCCTTTTTCACGCGGCGGTCCTTCCTGTAGCATCTAATCAAATCGATGGTGATCTCTGAAATATTTACCGATCAAACGCGTCCTTTTTTGGAAGGAAATTTCACCGATCTACGTCGATAATGACGTCATTAAGATAATCCCCGGAGGTTAATCAGAGGGGAGAGAGAGAGAGAGAGAGAGAGAGAAACGGGCGGGGAGAACCGTGTGATCAATAGGGCCATGTACTGGGACGACGCATAGCCGACAGTCTGAAAGGGGAACGTAGGAAGAGGGTTGCAGGTGTTGGTTGACTCATGATTTCTGTATTCAGTGGTCCAATGGTCGGCTGACATTCCACACTAACGTTCTCCAAGTCAACAGGACATATAGTAGTCCAAAGTGGCCGGCTAAAGTTAGGGGTACCTGTGTGGGGGGGGGGGGCTGCCGAACATCGCACAAGTTCTCCCCCCACTCGGCGGAAGATTCCCCATCGTTGCCGCACCAACTCGTCTTCTCCCTCCTCTGCTTCTTCTTCCACCACAAAAGGCATCCATCATCAACGAGGACGCGGGGGGGGAGGCCCGACGGAGTTTTCCAGCCGATGGGAGCAAAGCAGAGGGGTATGGGGAAGCGCCGCCACTGCCCAGCGCCGCCGCCCGTTCTCCATTCCCACGGGTTTCGCTACTTCCTCTTCGTCATCTCCGCCATGTCCCTGGTCGGCCTGTTCTATCTGGCGTCCAAGCCCTGCAGGCTGGGGGGCTTCTTCCTCGGTTCGAGGCAGCTCGACGACCCCTCCCTCTGGTCCGGCCGCCTCGACGAGCTCCCCTTCGCCTGGAACCACCTCCGCTTCTCCGCCAGCCCTCCCCCGAGGAGGCTCAGGATCGCCCTCTTCGTCAAGCGCTGGCCCAAGGGCGACCGCGCCGGCGGCATGGAGCGCCACGCGCTCACCCTCCACGGCGCGCTCGCCCTCCGCGGCCACGCCACGCACGTCTTCACCTCCGACCCCGGCGGTCCCCCGGATCGCTCCTCCCCCAACATGCTCTTCCACCTCTCGCCGCCCCTCCGCGGCGGCGGGTTCGACGCCGCCGCCGCCTGGGACCAGTTCGCGCGGGCCAACGCCGCGCTGCCGTTCGACGTGGTGCACAGCGAGAGCGTGGGGCTCCCGCACCTCTTCGCCGGGAACCTCTCTAACGTCGCCGTCTCCTGGCACGGCATCGCCTACGAGGCCGTCCACTCCGAGATCGCGCAGGACCTGGCGCGCCTCCCCGGCGAGCCGCGGTCCTCGGACCAGGTCAAGCGTATGCAGGAGCGGCTCTTCCGGGTGGTCGACGAGGTGAAGTTCTTCGACAGCTACGCCCACCACGTCGCCACCAGCGACCACGTCGGAGACATCCTCCGGCGGGTCTACATGATCCCCGATGAGAGAGTCCACGTGATTCTGAACGGCGTCGACGAGCAGATCTTCCGGCGGGACGCCGAGAAGGGGACGGCCTTCCGGCGGAGGCACCGCGTGCCGGAGAAGGCAAAGCTGGTGGTGGGCATGTCCGGGCGGCTCGTGAAGGACAAGGGCCACCCGATCATGGTGGAGGCGCTGCGGCAGCTTCTGGAGGAGGAGCCGGATTCCATGGAGTGGGTCTTCTTCCTGGTCGCCGGCGACGGGCCCTGGGGGGACAGGTACAGGGAGCTGGGGCCGAACTTCCTGGTCCTGGGGCCTCTGGATCGCCCGAGTCTCTCCGAGTTCTACAACGCGATCGACGTCTTCGCCCATCCGACGCTGCGGGCGCAGGGGCTGGACCAGACCGTGCTCGAGGCGATGAACTCCGGGAAACCCGTCATGGTGGCGCGGTTCGCCGGCATCACGGAGTCGGCGATCGTCAGCTCTGAGATGGGGTACGTGTTCGCGCCCTCGGTTCAGCGGATCAAGGAGACGCTGTCCAGGGTCATCAGGGACGGCAGGGGGGTGTTGGAGAAGAAGGGGGAGGTCGCCAGGAGGAGGGCGCTGAAGCTTTTCACCGCCACGAAGATGGCGGCCGCCTTCGAGAGGCTCTTCCTCTGCATCGCGTCCAAGAACGCCGGTGATGGCTTAGATTTTTGCAGATACCCACTCTCGACGGACTGATTCGGCGGCGACTCGGGAACCCGTCACTGGAGCTCGACGGCGTTGGGGAGAGGGCCCCTTCGATGCAGGCGCGTCGCAACTCGGTTCGCACCCGGCGAGTCACTGCGGTTCGTTAATGGACTCAGAGCCAGACCTCCATGCATCCCGTCCGATCGTGACTGCCCGTCCGATCGTCTTATTTGTACTCTTCCTTTAATGTCACCACCATCTCAATTAAGTCTAGATCTTTCATCTCAAATTAGTTATTCAGTAAATATTTTTGTTTCATAATAGGAATAATATTTGGAGTGGTTATTAAGATATCATTCGCGTAGAATATTAAATAATTCTGAGATCTATATCCAAAGAGTAGTATAAACATAATGAAAAATATGTAATGATTCATTCAGCCAGCCAACAATTTATTTTGATCCTAATTCATTGAATCATATAAATAATTCCTTCCAAATCATTATGAAGAAATAAAATTGTCACATGAAGCTATTCTCATTTGTCACAAATGATTAATAAAATTATAATAAATGTTTATTTCATAACAAGAGAAAATACTTCATTGTGGTCAACAACTTCCTCATGTGAATATTCTTTGACTACTAATAGCCTTGAACTTTTTCTCTTCATTTTCTGACATAAGCTTCTCATTTTTGAAGATCCATAGCCATCCAATAGCCTTCTTTCCTTTAGGAAGTCAACATATGTTTCATATCCTGGTGTCAATGGAGAGATTATATTTCTTCCATCATTGACTTCATCTATTCATCACTGTTTTGGCAATTAATTAACTATTGCAAAAACGTAGGTTCATCATCTATTAATTAACTTCATCTAAGAGTGTGTCTAGCTCTCATGATACTAATTCTACTACCATCTTGCTCAACTTAATTTGTCACATTTGTTTTGACGAGGAAATTGATATTCTCATCAATCTCCACTTGTATGAACAATACATATTTTTCATCAAAAGACTTAATTATAATGTTGCTAATTAATTTTTTTTTTGCCTAGACATATCTCATAGCTTGTATCATTTCATTTCATCTTCATAGGCTAAGAAGGCTGACTTCTAAAATTTTGAGTCAATATTTGACATTTCATCAGTTGGGACATCCAAGTATCCTCAACTTTGGATACTCTACGTCCTTCTCTAAGCAGACTTTTGATTTTCAACGTTTTGAGTTTCACAACTTGTGTTCGGCAAAAATCTATGACTTATGCTCCATAAAACAAAACTCAGATTTTTTTTGAGTGCTCGTTGATAAAACTCACAAATTAACAAGAGATATCATCTGACTTCACATTTAAAGGAAGGTAAATTCACAAAGTAATTTCACTACTTCACATTTAGAGAACGTGCGCAGCACCAGCATGGATCTTTCCAATTGGGAGATAGTCCCATATCGGATATCGCTACAGCCCCCCCCCCCCTCCCCCTCTTCAGGTCTATAAGTAATGGGCCCTACCCACTGGCCAGATATCGAATGCCTTGACCTCTGAGGTTTCTCCAAGGGTCCATCCCTAACATGAAGGCGTTTGACGAAAAATGATTCCGTTTTTTTTCGCAGACGATCATTATGGAAGAACAGAGTCAAAAATCGGTTGCTGCATCGATCGGGAATTTCATTGCCCACGATCGATCCCACCCTCCAACCCTGGTCACTGTCGTGTTGTTGTTCATTAAACCCGTTCGCATCTTCTGTGGTCCCATGATCGAGCTTGCACCCTTGTGTCTTCTCCCGGGAGGCATTGCTCTTTAGCTTCTTCCAATTTGTCACCTCGTCGCCTGTCTACGAGCCATCGCCTTCGTTAGCCCTTCTCCAGCTCACTCTTGGACTAGTTTGCGGCTATATTAAGCGACGAATGCGACAACATTGACGAGCAATGCCACTAAGTATTACTGCTTCCATTTTCTGGTTGGTGGATCATTAAGTTTCATCGATTGGGTGCCAGGATCTGCCCTCCTGTTTCTGGCACCCTCGATCGATCGAAGCCTTCTTCTGTGGGTGAAGGGTCCTTCGGGCATCCCATTTCTCTTCAGCATTCTCCCTTTTTCTTCGGACAACGTGAATCTGGGGACGCCCTGCGGCAAAAATTACCCGTCTTCTGTCTCAGCGATCCGGGTGGGCAACATGCCGCCGCCGTCTGTTAAACTCTGGCTCCTTCCCTTCCTTCCTCGGTTGAGTCCGACATCGTCAAGAGTTTCCCTCTGCGCGCGCTCATCTGTCGGCTTTCTTCCTGTGACTTTCCGATCATATTTTCTTCCCGAATGCGTCGGCTTTCTGAGTGGGAGCTCGTTCGTCTTGGGTCACCGGAATATGAAGAGCAAGTCTCTTCTTGGATATCTCAGCGGCTAGCGGACGAGAAGACCTTACTCTTGATTCACTTATCTACGGTCGGTAACTCACCGCCTCCCCCCGCCTCGTGGCCGTCGGTTGGACGTCGCCATCACTCCCACATCGTCGTCTTCCGTCTGCTAAATTAGATATTTCGGTCCCGGTGAGCAGAGCGGCCCTAGAGTGGCGGGGTACATTTGGGAGGACGGTGGTAACACCGTGGAATATGCTTTTATAGGAGAAAAGGGAGGGGAGGGGGGGGGGGGGCACAAGGGGGGCCGGCGCCGGCTGGCGGACAAGCCCGGCGGCACATGCCGCCGGCTGGTCTCCAAGATGTATCGGGACTCCCCGATCTCCACGTTTTCCAAATTGGATGGTGATTATCCGAGGGGCGTAGCCCGTCGCTCTCCGGCGTTCGTGACACGCTGCCTCCTTTCACTTAAAGAAGGCTCCGGCGAGGCAGCATAAGCCGAGGCCTCCTTTTTCGTCCTTTTGAGGCGGCAGCTAAGGGGTCTCCCTCCTCTGCCCGTCCTCATTCCCCTCGCCAGTTTCGCTCGCGGGGCTCCGCCACGCCGGTCTACCACCATGGTGACCACCGGGGACCTGTACCTGACGGTGGCTTGTCTCGTTGTGGCCGCCGCCGCAGGGCGGGGCTGGTCGCAGCAACTGCCGGGGACGTGGGAATTGCTGGTGCAGGATGCCGGCATTGCTTCCATGCACAGCGCCGTCACCCGCTTCGGCACGGTGGTGCTCCTCGACCGCACGGACATCGGCCCCTCGCGCCGCCTCCTCCCGCCGTCCCGCTGCCGGGTCGACCCCTCCGACCGCCTCCTCCCCAAACTCGACTGCTACGCCCACTCCGTCCACTTCGACCCCGCCACTCGCCAAATCCGTCCCCTCAAGATCCAGACCGACACCTGGTGCTCCTCCGGCCAGTTCCTCCCCGACGGCACCCTTCTCCAGACCGGCGGCGACCTCGATGGCTTCAAGAAGATCCGCGCCTTCCGCCCCTGCTCCCCTGACGATCCCCTAAATCTCTGCGACTGGGAGGAGCTCGACTCCCCGGGGCTGCGCGCTGGCCGGTGGTACGCTACAAACCAGATCCTCCCTGACGGTTCCATCATCATCGTGGGCGGCCGCGCGGCCAATTCGGTCGAATTCTACCCTCCTCGCCCTGGGAGCCCCCGGCCCTTCCCTTTCCTCGCCGACGCCGGCGACGCCCAGATGGACAACCTCTATCCCTACGTCCACCTCCTCCCCGACGGCAACCTCTTCGTCTTCGCCAACACGCGCGCCGTCCTCTACGACCACGTCTCCGGGGAGGTCCTCCGGGAGTACCCCCAGCTCGAGGGCGGCCCCAGGAACTTCCCCTCGGCAGGCTCCTCCGCCATGCTGGCCCTCTCGGGGGACTTCTCCACTGCGGAGGTCGTCGTCTGCGGCGGCGCCGAGTTCGGGGTCTTCATCCAGCGGTCCCCCGACACGCCGGCCCACGGCACCTGCGGCCGGATCGTCGCCACGGCCCCGGGCGCCGCCTGGTCCTTGGAGACGATGCCCTTCGCGAGAATTATGGGCGACATGGTGATGCTTCCCACCGGCGAGGTGCTCATCATCAACGGCGCCCAATCCGGCGCGCAAGGCTTCGACCTCGCCACCGATCCCTGCCTGAATCCGGTGCTCTACCGGCCCGCGGAACCGGAGGGCCTGCGCTTTATGACATTGACGCCGACGGACGTCCCTCGGATGTATCACTCCACCGCCAACCTCCTCCCCGACGGCCGGGTCCTCGTCGCCGGCAGCAACCCCCACCATTTCTACAAATTCCAGGGGCCCTTCCCGACGGAGCTCCGCCTGGAGGCCTTCTCACCGGAGTACCTCTCCCCGGACCGGGCCAACCTGCGCCCGGTTATCCTCTCGGTGCCGGAGAAAGTCTGCTACGGTGAGGCCTTTCAGGTGGAGGTGACGGTGGAGCTGCCCGTCGTGGGTATCCTTGAGGTGAACCTTGCGAGCGCCCCCTTCTCGACCCACTCCTTTTCCATGGGCCAGCGGCTGGTGAAGCTCAACGTCTCGCCACCGGCGTCGTCACCCGACTCGGTGGTGCACCGATACAGCATCGCCTGCACGGCCCCACCGAGCGGCGCGGTGGCGCCGCCGGGCTTCTACATGGCCTTCGTTGTCAACCAGGGTGTCCCTAGCGTTGCCTGCTGGATCCAGATCATCCCATAAGGAAGTCGAATAACCAACATCCCCCCCCCCCCAGCGTCACTCATTCCGATCCTAGCAGGCTCTCCTCTTACAACGCCGTGAAAGGCCTACTGTGTATGTGAACAAAGGTCTCTTTTAAGCAAAAATGGAGGCCCCATTCGATAGTTGAGGCATCGTTGTCGTGACCACTATTGCGTACAACTCAGATCCTATGAACAGTCGGGAGTCCACCCGACATTCCGGTCCACCCCCACGTGGTGACGTGAGTCTCCACCATGGCCCCTCTCTCTCTCTCTCTCTCTCTCTCTCTTCCATCCTCCCAATTCGCTGTGCAGAAGGCGAGTATGAACGGAGGAGAAGCACCAGAAAATGGTCGCCGCCGCCCCGTCGGTTTCCATGTTGAACAAAATAGGTGGAGAGTCAACCGTCGATCCTTATTGGGCTCGAGATTTTCCCCAGATGGGTAGATCGGGCTCACAAGCGGGTCGTCCTCGTCGGGCTCGCTAGAGGATTAGAAAGAAGTAGCTACGACGGCCGGAACACCTCCGCCCAACGATGCTCTGCATGGCCTCACGTGCGGGCCTTCCCCAATCACCTCGACGGCTGTCCTCGTCCGCATCCCTTCTGATTGACCCGCGGCGAGGGAGGGCATCTCGTCTGATGATCCACGCATCAATCACGCAGACACCGGCGAGACTCCGACGAGGCTGTCGACTTCCTGATCTCCCTGTGAAAGGGTGGTCGAGTTGCTGTATCGTCGGTCGTCAGAACTTTCGTCAACAGGGTTCTGGCAAGATTCTCGGGAATCACCTCTAAGTCTGACCATAGCCCTCGGTTTCTGCCGTTTTCGACCGGAGTCGGTTTGAACTATGCGATCTCGAATGCCATCGATTTTTGCTTCAAGGATTGAGACAGAATTAAGGGTTCCATATCAATTTACGTCATGTGGCACACATATCTCGATCACGTTAGTCAGAATCAGCTCACCCAGGGCCCGCTGACTTAATGACAATGGAAAAGAAGAAGAGACCGCGATTGATTAACTCAGCATCCCGTATCCCTTCACTTAAATGATTTAAGCCGTATTTTTGTGAGCAGTCACTCAATCCACGAAAGAAGACGCCAAGCATATGCCGTATTGTTGATTTTTTATATTACGTTATAATAATTAGGTGTGGTCATAAAAGTTGCGTATATCTAAAATAAATACCGTACATGTATTTTTTAATTAAAAATAATATCCAAGGCAACAGAGACATCTCAGATAAAAGATTGAAAGAAAATAATAAAAAACGACTACTGTTCCCTCCGCCGGGGGTCCCCATAGCTCAGTCAGTCAGGGTACTTTAATTATTAATATTATTTATTAGAAGACTATTCCTGGGGAACCGAGAGAGCCAGCCCAACAGTGAGGGTCGACTGGGTCAAGTCTTCCAGTCAAGTCCACAGTTCATCTTTATGAAGACACCAAACCCTTTCTCTCCCTCCCCGCCTCCCCCGTCCAATGAGAGCTGACCGAGTTAGCCGTAGACTTCAGCCTTAGCTGTCTACAGATAGCCCAAAATATACCTCTCTCGGCTCAGGATTCTGTAGTTTACTCCCACTTTCCAACAACCTCATGCTCGCCGACGAACAATAATAAAATGAAGCTGAAGACTATGGCGTTATAGGGGGCTCGGACATCGCGTTCTTCCCATCAATCTATCTCATGAATTCCCTGGCTTCCATGGGGTTCCAACATAATCTGAATCCGATTACGACATTCTAACTCATTTACAAAATCCGTCATGTTTCTAACCTTCGGACAATGCGGCGCGCTCCGACGTTATGGTTCGGACCACAACAAGGAAGGAAGCAATAGTAAATGCATGTCTGAAAGAGCGGTTGAGAGAGAGAGAGAGCGACGGCGAGCGAGACAGAGTAGGACATCGAGGCAGCTCGTACGTCATCGCGGCAGCTCTTTTAAGGTTTGTACGCAAGGAGTTCGTCCTCCGCCATGAGTGGCAGTAGCCGCGTTTGAACTGTGGAGCGCCCGGGAAGTGAGCGAAGCTTACGAGTCACGATGTGTCGTCCCCTGAGTTCAACTTGCCTACTATATAGAGGAACATGAAGACAGCGAGAGTATGAAAACATAGGTCATGAGCTTCATAGCCTAATCATGTTATAACTCCGGGTCTTGGGCATTAAACTAATGAACAAGGAGCTATTCTATGACGGCGCCTCGAGCAGCTCTTCTCGTCTCCCCATGAACATCTCGAGCACTGAGCTCGTAATGCTGTCGCTCATTGAGGACCCACTGCGTCCCCTCTCCCCGCCGTCGCCAACCTCGTCTTTAAATCGAGGGGGAGAGAGAGGAAGAGATAAATGAGGAGAGAGATGTAAAGCGCGAGACGTTCTGTCAAGCTGTCACATCCCGGTTTTTGGTGGGCCGACGGGAAACCCGGGGGTTTCACCAAGCAAAAGATATGGCGGTGGAGGTACAGCCGTGGAACAGCAAGCAGGGTTCGGAGTTAAGCAGTTTCGCACAGCGTAAAGTGCCAATTGAATCTGGAACGACGGACTTTAGAGAGAGGATTGGGTGTGCGAGTCTTGGGAGGGGACAGCCCTGAGACTTAAGTCGGGAAAAAACGACGTCACCTGCTTTGATGGTCCTCTGCAGGCTAGGAACTCTCTCTCTCTATCTCTCCGTTCCCCATCTGAACGACGTCGGATCAGTATGTCGGATCCCGACACGTGCACCATTTATCATAATTGATATGTGCTCTGACACGCCCTCTTCCCGGCCAGATACAGAGGTCAGGCTTCAGAGGTAAACATTCATTAGATTGCTACTAGAAGATAGAGCGCCTTGAATCAGTAACCTGACGAATCATTGAAATGATAAACTTTTTCATGAAATTTAGTAAAAATCTGATTGAAAAATTTGTTGGTGTCCCAATGAAGTATAAAGTAACCTGTCTCTCAGTGGAACTGCCCCACTGTTCGCCCTAAAGACACTCCTTTTTTGCAAGAGGCACCAGTTTCAGAACATCACGTCCATATTCTCATGAGAGAGAGAGAGAGAGAGAGAGAGAGAGAAAGAGAGAAGGGGGGGTGGGGCACGCGAGAATCTAGAGGGAGGGCGGAATTCCAGATACGAATAAATCTAACATATCATCAGCTCCCCGCGTTGATTCCGCCTCAGGTAGTTCTGTTTACGTCAGCTCAGGAGCGCAACTGGGTTCGCGGGGACATCCGATCTTTAAATCTTCAGTCCCCGGGGATTTGACCCCCCGATTAGACACAACACCGCTCGCGCCTCCTTCACATTAATCGGCGTAGGGGGATATCGGTCGGCCAAAGCCTCAATACCGATAAAGTAAAGATTGCTCCTTTGAAAAAAAAGCCACCTCTTTTAAGTCCTACCCTTCTCTCTCTCTCTCTCTCTCTCTTGTCCTCAAGTGTGCAGAGCTCTGGGTTTTCTACGATGTGCTCTGAACACGCGCTGCCTCTCTCTCCATGATTGTGCAGACTCCACGTGCGTCAGCACGACACTACCACTTCGGCCGGCTGTCTCCGCAGTAACTACGGGCAGGGTGATGGGGGCCGCCTGGTTCTGAACACCGTCGGCAAGGCTAGCGGAAGCAGAGGACGGTTTGTTTTGGAAGGTTCGGTCAGGCGGTAACTTGACTGCCTTGAGATCAGAGAGTACTGCACACAAAACTATGAAAGCCGGCGGCCGAGACCGGTCAGACCGGTTCCCGGTTCCCGGTTCCCGAGAGAACACGCCATGCAGCCTTCTCCATCCCCTCCGCCACCCACCTGCTTCTTGCTTCACCTCTCCTCCCTGTATCTCTCCCTGTATCTCTCTCTCTCTCTCCCTCTCGACCCGTGCCTTACGGTCACATCTCACTCTCCATCTCTATTTCTCTCTAAAGCGAGAAGAGCAGGATAAAGCAGAGCGACTCTTTGTGAAAGAGGCAGCGGCGTACGTTGAAGGAAAGGGTGGAAATTTTCGGAAAGACGACCGACGATCCATTGAAGAGAGGGCTGAGTGGGCGATACTCATGTTGGGAAGTTGTCCGAGAGGAGGAGGTGAGCAACCGCAAGGGGTGCTCGCTGCAGGTGGTCAACTTGCTGATGGGCGTGGCGGTTGCTTCTCCTTTTACCACGTACCTCAGCAGTGCCGGAGGGAAAAGCTCCGCTACGCCAATGCTGCCGAGGCGGCGCCGCCGCTGTTCATGCGGCCTTCGCCTTCCTCGCACATGCTTAACCCTCACTACAATACCTCGCCTTACGACCATGGATTTCCACCGCTCGACCTCTTCAACCCTAACCCTCTCTTAGGCGGCGATGGCAGCGACCAACATCAAGGCCAAGGCTTCTCCTTGTCGCTCTCCTCAGCAGTCGTCGACGATCAACAGCACCACCATGGGCAGGCACAGGGTGCGTCCCCCATGGCTGGCCCGCCGTCAGTCGTGTCGGCAGTCCAGCGGGTAGGGCCAGTCCCCGCCGGGCCGTTTACAGGGTACGCGACAATATTAAACAGTTCAAGGTTTCTGAGGCCAGCACAGCAGCTTCTCGAGGAGACTTGCGGTGGCGGCGTCGGAGGGTCTTTGGTCGGCAGCGGGGACGAGGTCGAGGCACTGGATATCGCGGGGGACATCCCTGAGCGCACGGACACCCTGGACGGCGTGATAGGTGGCGGGGAGCAGCGGAGGATGAAGTCGAGGCTCATCTTGATGCTGGACGAGGTCATTCATTATATCATCGTAGCAACTTCTATTAATTTCTTTTGCTCTATTTTCGTTTTCCTCCGTCGGATTGGGAGATCAGAGGTACATCTTAGTGCAGTCGTTGACCGTTCATCGTTTTCATCGTCTTTCAGGGTCTATGTTTTAACTTGTACTAAGTACGAAACAAGATATGGGTTGAGCCTTGGCGATTAGTCATCTTGATGGAGTCCTTTGGTTGATTTGATGGAAGCTTTGTTGATTAGATATTGTCAGGACGGATGATCTTCCTTGACCTAGACCTTCTTGATATTTCATCGCACTTCTCTTACTAATGCGAAGCCGCTGTGCTCGGTAGGTTCATTGGCTTTTATTATTATAATGCTACGGGGTTAAAGTGCAATGGCGATTTATCGTTGTCGAATATCCGTCCGATTATTTAGTGACGTGTTACGTGCTGAGTCAATGCTTTCAGTTGCACGTCCCGGGACTGTTTTAATGTTTTGTAGTTTGTGGGAAGGACCACGTTGCGTCTGGATCAGTCTGTAGCTGTTACAGATGCAACGTTGTTCATCTTCCTTATTGTTTTATTCTATTCGTAATGCAGCAGGGATTGAGGACGTTTTTTCGGTCGTGAACGCAGTACTAATGGTTTCAGAGTACCCTCCTCCACTATCTAGGAATAATGCCTCTTGGCGTTTTTGGGTTTCCTTTTGGTGCGTACAACACTCATTGTAAGTTTCTTGGCTGCGATGTCTTGGAATGATGCCCAAGGCTTTACTTCAGGCAGTTGAAGAAGGGCCTTTGAGGCTGGCCTTGGGAGTGTGATGGACGTGTACGTGATAAGTGAGGCGGAACGGGTTTGGAGTCTCGAAAGGTCTAACCCATTCCAAACACTTTAGAATTTGTCGAATTTTGTGGGCTGAGGGAGAAACGCCATCACCGCTGTTGACGCAGAAATGTCCTTTGCCGTTGTCGGCCGCAGGTTAATATTGACTCGCCTTCTATATTGCCTGCGATAGGCAGCTTGAAACCCTCTGAGGTTATGGCACAGTCTTTACCGGCATTGATGCTTTACTATGATCTTTAACACTGTATTCTCTTCATTTCATGTTTCTGTTTCGTTGTGTTCTTAGATATCTTCGACCAATGTTCTGTGGATAGCATGCCATAATTCATCTCCTCTTCAAGTTGCGTTGCATAGATTCTCAACGTGCGGCTTCCACGCTCTAGTTTACGTATCGAAGTCCTTTCCGTGTTGAACCCCGCCCCCCCTTTCCCTCCTGGGCCTTCTTCTTTTTTCTGCCCTGTAATTGCCCTAGTATTTTACATGTTGAAAATATACTGAAAGATCGTTATGAATCGTTTTAAGCCAACGACGACGGAACCTCAATGCTTTCTGTTACCTTCAGGTGTACAGAAGGTACAAACAGTATTACCATCAAATTCAAGCAGTGATCTCATCGTTTGAAGCGGTCTCGGGCCTTAGTATGGCAGCCCCATACGCTCCTTTGGCTCTAAGATCCTTGTCGAAGCACTTCAAGAGTCTGAAGAATGTCGTAGCTGAGCAGCTTCGGTTTGCGAGTAAATGTGTGGGCAAGGAAGGCCAGAGTGGAGAGGATATACCGTCGTATAGACTGGCGAGCAACGCTGGCCTTTGTTTCCCCAGAGTTGCTCATTGTTCTGGTGCGGTTAGCCAACAGCCGGCCTGGCGCCCCCAGAGGGGGCTTCCAGAACGCGCGGTCTCTGTTCTTCGATCATGGTTGTTCGAACACTTCCTACATCCGTGAGTGTTCTCGACTGCTTTTTTAATCGATTCACAACTTGTCTTCAATTCATGTTTCATGAGAGAGTTAACTTATTTTCAGATACCCTACTGATATGGATAAGCAGATGTTGGCCAAACAGACTGGCCTCTCGAGAAACCAGGTATTCGGATTCCCTCATTCGTGCAGTTTTTACGGCATGTTATTCCGATTTGCCAGTTGTTCTCAATGGATGGAAATTTATTTATTATGACGTTTATCTATCTCATTTCTTCGTCTCTCTTGAGCAGGTTTCAAACTGGTTCATTAATGCGAGAGTCCGACTTTGGAAGCCCATGGTGGAAGAAATTCACTCGCTGGAGCAGCAGCACGATCATCGCAAAGCTCCCCAATCTGACAGCAGTCGCGGTGCAAACAAGCAACCTGAGTTGTTGACTTCCCCATCCGCTGTCTCTGCCGGCGACAAGCAGGCGCCTCCTGCCGTCAGCAGCTCGTTTAAACGATCTCGGGCTGAATTTTCTCAGCTGCCCAATCACATCAAAGATCCCTTGAACTTCTCCCTCGAAGACTTCTCCGCCGCCCAACACCGCGCTGGGGTGCCGGTGACTATGGCAGGTGGCGTCCACGGAGGAGTCTCCCTCACCCTCGGTCTGCACCAGAACGGCGGCACTATTTGTTTTTCCAACCCGCCCATGCCCATGAGCGGCGTGCATCGTTTTGGTATCGAAGATGGAGGCGGCGTAGGGTTCGCAATGGACAGCGGTGGGTTCGAAGGGCACGAACAGCACCACAACTTCGGGAAGGAATTCGACGGGCAGTTGCACCACATATTCTGAAGGCATTATGTTCAAGTATTGTAGAAACGGGGCTGGGCTACTAGTCAGTCCATGCTTAATACATCAGTTGAGGCATTTGCATAGGTTGAGAGATTTGTTGGCGGTGGTGGTTTCTTTATAGATGAGGAAAGGAATCTCCATTCTCTCTCCCATCTCCTTGATTCACCCATGGATCATCATCCGAATCGTTTTCTTAGACTCCGTTCCTCGTCTCTCACGTCCAGGCGTGGAGCCCGATTATCTTTTTTAGTCCTGTGGAGAGCGGGGAGAGCCCGGGTACTCGACCTAGGGGACGCTGAAGACTACTGATGGGGATAGTGATGACCTCTCGGCAGCCGCCTTTCTCCCACTGAGAATCCTCGCCATATTGTGGATAATTGCCTTACCACTGCTCATCATAGGAGCCACTCCGACAGCAAGAGGTTGCGACAGGACGCTGACGGAGAGGATAGATTAAGTGGATAGTCTCTCTCTCTCTACATAAATGTGTATATAGATATCCATGTGCTGTCGTTCAACAGCCAAACAGGCCTCTCTTATTTTCATCCTAGCAGCGGCGGGAGGAGGTGCCGGGTACAGTGTTCGCCTCGGAAATGACAAGTACTTGCAACTATGTGCCCAACCATGTGCTGCGGTATTTTGTACGTCGTTCCCACACGCCCACGCTATGCTCCTTAGTTCATCGAGAGGGATAGAGGAGGGAACCTAAGATGTAACGTTATATGAGATATTGAAGCACCCCCTCGTTCATTCGTAGATAGGGTTGCCGCCGTCATTCACCACTGTCTTTTGCTACTTATTTGTCAATCCTTGTGTATTGTGGTCAATCCAATCGAGTTTATAGGATCCACTTCAACTTCGCATGAAATTTTCCACGTCAGTGAATTAACAAAGTGGGCTGGTCTATTTTGCTGATGGTTGTGAATCTAGAGAATGATGACTACTGCATGGACAAGGTTCCCAAAATATGACGAAACTAGGGATTGTAGGAGCCACTGGAAAAGAAAACGTTATTCTTTTCGAGATAGGTTAAGTCGAGTTTTGCCGTGGAGTGGGGGAGTAAATTCGAGGGATTCTCGGAAGCAACATCAATGTTAGAGCAAAATGTGAATCTATTGAAAAGGTAAAGAAGGCATAGTTACTATGGTTCTGGGATAAGAGAAAACTCTAACGTACGTACTATGATTTTTCGATAAAAATATCAAAAATCTACGTTTACCTCGAAAAGGATTTTATTGTCCGATTGTGAAACCCAATTAATCTATATCTCTTAAACTCCGTTGACGTTATTGAATCTCAATCTTACATCCTAGTGACACGACAAGTTTATACGATGCTTAATAAGACTCCTATGACGGCCCAATCCAGCTCACTAAAGCAAAGTACTCATCCATAAATTTCTTGCAGGTCTGAAAATTTTTGCTCCTGGATAAAATTTCTTCACAACCTCATCACGGATGCAATGATTCGTCATCTTTGCCTCTTCTGCAAGAATATTTGTGTTCTTGCTAGTGGGCTTAGCCAACCACTTAACTGGAACCGTTTTACATTAGTTTTCACCTCCTTTATGTCACATATCTAATGCTCAGTAAGTGTTCAATCACCTCCAAAGGTTCTTGAAGACGTTATTTAATTGATTACTACATAATACCACCTTTTCCATTGAATCGTTAATATGAATGCAGGTACGAAAAAATAGATATGTGATTGCTATGCCACTTTAGAGGTATCTCAATGACTTGAGATCAAACTCATTGATTTTTATGAAAACCCAATTGTTGAGGTATTGTTGAGAAACTTGTTTCATTTAAAGTTTACTAAAATTAAATTGTCTTTATGAAATTATTCTGCTAATTGATGCTCATTTTCACTATCATGTGTGAACCATTGATAGTGTTGAGGTTGATTCTCATTTCTTCCTAAACATGATTTATATATTCCAAAAATACATTGTTATTCTTATTAACTTGCAGGTTATTTAGTAATTAAATTAATTCAAGGATATACTGCAATTTTAGATCATAATATACATAAAATCGAGTAAAGTGTAATAGGTTAGAACCATGTGCATACTTGTAGCCCAACTAACATAAAACTAAGATTTGAAACATTTTCATCATAGTTGGGAATACTGACCTCGTGCTTAAGACATCAAGTTGCTTAGTTTGACTTGATATTTTTTATGCAATGGAAAGACAACCCTTCAATATTTTCCCTCTAACTAGTATGATAAGAATTTGACAGTTTTTGGACTTAATTACCTTAATATCAGATGATTAGAATACACCAGAAACTCTTGATATGATTTGTTCACCAATGTTGTATGTATCCACATGTTAAATGATATCATTTTTGTTTTAAAAAACTTCTTGTTGAAAATGTTAAAAGCTTTCGTTTTGGTTAAACATTGAGATTTACATAAGGTCTATCCAAAAATAAGACCACCATGACTTTGTGTTTGTGGTTTGGATGCTTGTCCTTGATCTTGATAAAAATTTCAACACATTGTTGAAGTACATAGCTATAAAAAAAATCTAGAAATAATTCAAGTAAATATCAAGTTAAAGTTTTATGAGTATTTGGGACATTAAATGGTCTGGCCATTTATTAGATGAAAACTTTGGCATCCACTATCTTTGTGAGTATACTATTTATAAAATTAAAAAATATATCATTAATAAAACACATTAACTAGGGTTCATTTTTTTCATGTGTGAGCAAGGCAAGAATATCATAAAACTCTGATCTCATATCCTGGCTATATTGTTGTTTAGGATTAATGAACAAGACATGATATAAGTTGTCAAATTTGATATCAAATTTAGGTTGTCAATCTTCAACTTGTTGAATTCTCTTACTAGTAACAAATTTCAGGATAATTTATTTATAATTGAATCTTGTTTTTTTTATAATCAGAATTAATCATATTGGGATAGTTGTGCTGGTGCTGAAGGGTTTTAAGTATTTTGATGTTGAAAAAGCTTTATTAAAGATAAATGAAATATAATTTAATAATATGAGAAATGTGTGAATTGTGATATTTAAATCAAGTGACATTTTTAGGGCATGAATGCTTTGTGAGAAAGTGAATGAAATAATTTTTATAGAAAAATGTTGTCTCACACATAACTTCAAGACACTTATTAGATAGATAATTAAATAAGAACACAGTAACAACAAACATAACATCAAAATTAGAAGAATTCAGTTTTCTATCGTTTTCATAATATTAAAAGGTTTATTATTTCACCCCAAAGGCAACATGGTCTAGATTTCTAACCAAACTGACTAATTTATTTTTAGCTACAATATTATGTCACATATATGGATTCTAAAATAATAATTAGTAAGTTCACTCAAAGAGGAATCTAATGAAACACACAACATGCCAAAAATCAAAGTATGCGAATTATTATGAAGTTTACAATGTTTACGAATATATTTTTCTTTGAGTAGGTGGTAAGCCCATTAACGCTCATGTAAACAATATTTAATTATTTCATTTCATAGTCACTTTTTTAGTATAAAGTAAATCATTTACCTTGTTCAATTGATAATTATCAATAACTTACTATTTGGATGGCTACTTTTGAGTCTACTTTTTAGTATCCCTCTAGAAAACATGTATTACCTTTAGTCTAATGAATCATTTAATTATTATATAACCATGGTATATAAAATAAAATATGAAATACTTCTATGGACACATAAGACTTACACATTAGGAGTTCTATTTTCAATTGTATCTTACATCAAGGATTGGAATAATAATGAAAATTAAAATGTATCTCATTACCTAATTGAAAGAGTGTGATGTTTTAACAATTAAATGTTCTAGTTTTAGCAAATTGGTCTTAGTAACTTATTATTTTCACACTTGACCCAATTATCTCCTCAATGTAGCCAATTATAAGAGGTGTGCTCTCTGTTAGTGAAACATTTAGCTTGAAAAGTGCATATTATAACTTTCTAATTTTTTTAGCCACTATTAATACAAAAAAGTGTTACATGACTTAGAACCATAACCAATTTTAAAGCCTAATTGTTCAGTTTGACCACTCTATAAATTAATTTATTATTTTTTATCATTCAACTTAAAAATGCTTGACAAAAATTTTACTGTTCCATAAGTTTTCAACTCTCTTTTGGCCTTTAACACATATTTTCAAGCATCTTTTATGTTCAATAAACAAACTTCTAACATATAATCTTTGATGGTTGAGCTTGCAATCTAAAAATCAGCCATTTCATTACTAAGTTTGGTTATTCCTATTTAAATAAAGAGAGTGTCAATTTTATTAGTATATTAGATCTACTAATATCATTCTTTGGTCCAAGTTGTGAAATTCAAATAATTAATTAATAAAATTAGCTATGTACATTTCTCTTCATGTGTTTGAATGTATTGATTCTGAGGTTACCACATTGGGATTGAACTACAACATATTTCTCTCCATCCAAATAAAAATTGTTTGGATTATCTAAGAAAAAATAGTGCCATTCATTTATACACTATAATTTAAACACTTAAACCATGTTGTGTTCTAGGACTCCCAATCACCTTCTAAAATATATATAAGCTTCCACAAGTTGAAACTTTGGCAACAAATCCTCTAATGTATGTCTCATACTTATCATTTGTACTTGTTATTGCTGTTGATTCCTTGTTCCATGGAAACTTCCTTCATAGTCTTCTATCATAAGGAAGAAGAATTTACAATCTGATACCACTTGATGTAGTTAGGGAGAATGTTTGAAAGGTATTAGAAGACAATAATAATGTGAGAGGAAAAGGTAGAGAAAAGTATGGATCTAATGAATAAGTGACGTGACTTAGTCATTGTATAGTAAATCACACAAATTTAAAATTTTAAAAACTAGAAAATATGAATTTTGAGATATTTAGAAGTATTTCTGAACAAATATATCAATTATAATTCAATAAAACTTCTAAAAATAGTAATAATTTTCCAAGTTGATCACAGGGATGTAATATAATA